AACAGAGTCAGATGTTGAGTGGGAGGAGGAGATGGTATGAACAGAGTCAGTTGTGAGGAGTGGTGGGTGAGGAGATGGTGTGAACAGAGTCAGATGTTGAGGAGTGGTGGGGAAGGAGATGGTATGAACAGAGTCAATGGTTGAGGAGTGAGGGGGAGAAGATGGTGTCAACAGTCAATTGTTGAGGAGTGGTAGGTGAGGAGATGGTGTGAACTGAGTCAGTTGTTGAATGGTGGATGAGGAAACAGTGTGAACAGTCAGTCGTTGAATGGTGGGGAGGAAATAGCAAGAATGGCCACTTCAGGCAGTGCATCTGAGGTAGAGGAAGAATGAAGAAGTTCGTTCAATAATTAGGAGGTCACTGGTGTCCTTTTAAAGCAGTGTCCATGGAATGGTATACATTCACTTCACACAGCAAGAGCTAAGAAGCACATTGGTATTCAGAAAATGGTAGAAACGAATTACGACTATCCATTAATTTAAAAAAATGGACACTTTTTAATGAGAAAGTAACATACAGACCTTAGTCAAGATAACCCTATAATCTAGAACCTTCTGTCCAACACTGTGCTTCAAACGAGTAGTCATATGGGTATTTAAGTTTTGAAAATGGAGTAACACCCAGGAACGCTGACAAAGGAGCAAAGTTAACAGACCAGAAACACAGAGAAGTCCAGGAGCTGCGTGGCAGGTGGGTCCACTCAAGAGGCTCGATGAGGCTGGCCCGCCTAGGTTTGCATGCTGAACAAATGCACCACCTGCGACCTACTGTGGTTTCCTGGTAGCCTGGGGCTTCTCAGGAGGCCGTGGACCCGGGCCTCCAACCAGGACCGAACGCTGGGGAGGCACAGCAGTAACAAGGACCAGAGAGAGACCGAAAAACAGGTCGCCAGAGCAGAGTCCACCCCGGTGAGAGCAGACAGGGGACAAGAAATGTGGGACCTGAGGAGCGCGGCCAGGCCGCCTTCAGCGCCCACGCGAGGCCAGAGTGGCACCAAAAGTCCACGCAAAGGGAGTCTCCTCGGGTGGGGCGCAGGGCCACCCGGGGGTCTCCTAGGGTCGGACGTATTCCCCTGGGTCTCCCGCAGACCTGCAGGCACCACCCGCAGATGCCCCTTCACCCCACCGGGCCCACCTGCCCCACGCCCCACCAGCGCACTCCGACAGGGCACCTCTTGCCCCCTGCCCCGGACGCTCAAGGTCGTCACGGGTTCCGGCGCAGCCGAGTGAGGCCTTAGGAAACCACGCCTCCTGCGCTCACGCCACGCCCTGTGACGTCATCACCCGGCCTTTCGGCGGGGCGGGGTTCGGGGGGCCTCATCAAGGGCCGGCGCTTGGAGGGGTGGGGCCTTGGGACGCCACGCCGCCCCCCGCGCCACGCCCTCGGCGCTCAGTGACGTCATCATGCGTCGACGCGTGGCGGGGGCGGGTAGGGTGCGCGGGCGACGCCTCCGCCGGGTGGCCCTGAGGGGAGGGCGGGGCAGGCGGGGCAGGCGGGGCAGGCGGCCGAGTGAGGGGACCCGGTTCGGCAACTGGAGCATGGCCGACCAGATACCTCTGTACCCGGTGCGCAGCGCCGCGGCGGCCGCCGCAGCCAACCGCAAACGCGCGGCCTACTACAGTGTCGCGGGGCCCGGGCCGGGGGCCGCCCGGCACAGCAGGTAACGGGGCAGCGGGCGCCGGGTCTCCGCCCCTTCCTCACTCTCCTTGAGTGGTGCAGGCGGGCGGTGCCTGGCGGGCAGCGTCCCCGGAGCGAGGGGCTGGGCTGGCCCGCTGGTTCGGGGTCGCGGTGGATGTACCGCTCCCCGGGGTGCGGCGTCGCCCCTCTCCCGGGAGGAATCGGGTGCTAAACTTCCTGCGCGGCCTGGCGCACGGTGAAAACCGCGAACAACTTTTAATTAGTATTGGAAATACACCTCGAAGGACTCATTTCCACCGAGGCGAAGTGCAGATGTCTGGAAGGCGTGCTCAGTACACTTCCAGACATGGACACACACAGTGCCTTTTGCTAACGAGACGTTTTGCTTTTAGGAGTGGGGAATGCAGATTTAGAAAGGTTAAATTGATTAGTGGGGCCACGGTTTGTTTGTAGAAATAAAAAGTACAGTTTGGTTTAAAATGGAAGTCTTATACCCTAGGTTGGATTTGGCTCATATTTATTTCTCACCCAAGCAAAAGAATGTTTTATAAAAGGGACTTTAAAACGGAGTATTCTTGGAGTTCGTGAAATTTTATTTTATTCCAGAGGACTTGTACAGGCAGTTAACTTTTAATACATGGAGAACAAAGTAGATTTCACTCAGTATTCAGTCGCTTAAGAATTTGAGTTTTTAAATAATTCTTGGTTCCAGCTATTTGAGGAACTGTAGCTTATAGCTGTGATGTTACAGAGCTGGTTTGCATCCTGGTTCATTTACTAGTAGCTGTTGGATTTTAGGAGACTTTCTTAACCTCTAAGCCACAATGTCCTCATCTGTGAAGTGAGGTTTGTGTTTTTCTCAGGGCTTTGTTGAGGAGAACCTCTGTCAGGTACCCTCTTTCAGTGTGTGGCCAGAAGTGGATTCTCCAGAACTGTTTCTCATTTCCTCCTTGCTGTTACCTAAAGAGTAATTGCATTAGTAATTCCCAGGTTAATTTTAGTTGATTATATGGAAGTATACCAACTATTTCAAAGTAGGTTTGCATTACAATTTGAGCCTCTCAGTTTTTGCTTCATGTATTTTACCCTCTATTGTTACTTATCTTTATATCTTTTGGGTGGATTTTTCTTTTATTATTAATGTAATGTTCTTTGTCTCTGGTAATTTTCTTTGCCCTGAACTCTTCTTTAGTAGATTAATTCACCCACTTATGCTTTCTGTGGGTTGTTTCCATAGTGTTAGCTTTTAAACTACCTATGTTGAATTTGAAGTGAGTTCCTTGCTGGGCCATGTTTTTTATCCACTCTGCCAATCTCTGACTTTTGATTAGTATAGTGATCATTTACATTTGAGAGAATTATTGATACAGTTGAACTTAAGGGTGCCATTTTATTATTTGCCTTCTGTTTGTTCTCATTCTATTGCTATGGTTTTCTTGCTATCTTTCGGGTTAGTTGGACACTTTTTTGGTATCTCTGTAGTGGTTTTTATTATTATTATTTTTTAGAGACAGAGTCTCACTTTATTGCCCTCTGTAGAGTGCTGTGGTGTCACACAATTCACAGCAACCTCCAACTCCTGAGCTTAGGCGATTCTCTTGCCTTAGCCTCCCAACTAGCTGGGACTACAGGTGCCCGCCACAACGCCTGGCTATTTTTTTGTTGCAGTTTGGCCAGAGCTGGGTTTGAACACATCACCCTCGGTATATAGGGCCAGCGCCCTACCAGCTGAGCCACAGGCGCTGCCCTGTTTTTTATTTTTATTTTATTATTATTATTATTTTTTTTTTTTTGCAGTTTTTGGCCGGGGCTGGGTTTGAACCTGCTACCTCCAGCATATGGGGCTGGCACCCTGCTCCTGCCACCCTGTTTTATTATTTTTTTGAGACAGAGTCTCGCTATGTTGCTCAGTAGAGTGCTGTAGTGTCGCAGCTCACAGCAACCTCAAACTCTTGGGCTTAAGTTATTCTCTTGCCTCAGCCTGCCAAGTAGCTGGGACTATAGGTGCCTGCCACATTGCCTGCCTATTTTGTTGTTGTTGTTATTGTTGTTTAGCAGGCCCAGGCTGGGTTCGAACCTGCCAGCCCTGATGTGGCTGACGCCCTAACCACTGAGCTACAGGTGCCAAGCCTGTATATTGTTTTTGAGTTTAAGTCTTTGTATAGTTTTTATAGTGTGAGCTCTGGAGATTACAATAAGACTGGGTATATTACCATGGTGTATTGGTGTCAGTTGCGCTACTGCCAGTAAAATGTGGAAACCCCACTTTCATTTAGGTTCCCACTTTAAATATGTGCCGAGGATCAGATGGTGTTATGATTTCTGTCTCAGTCATCGAATATGATTTTTAAAGCTGATGATGGAGATAGTCTAGTGCTTGTGCCTGTATCTTTTCTCTTCTTCCTCCTTGATGATGCAGAATTCTGCCTTTATTGTTTTCTTTCTGTTTAAAAAACTTCCTATAACTAGTCTTTAAATTTTTTTTCATCTGAGAATGTCTTTATCTCCCCTTCCTCCCTCAGGATAGTTTTTTTGGGTGTAGAATTCCTTAACAGGCCTTTTCTTAGCATTTGGAAAATCTTGTATTCTTCCTTCTTTCCTCCAAGCTTTCTGGTTAGGAACCACTGTCATCGGCCCTGTAGATAATGTGTTATTTCTCTCTGGCTACTTTCAGTTTTGTCTTTAGTTCTCAGAAGTTTAATTATAATGTGTCTTATCATGGATTTTGGGGGGTTTATCTTGTTTGGTGTTCATGAAGCTTCTTGAATCTTCTTGTTGGTTTTTGTCTTTGACCAGATTTATGGAGTTTTGGTCACTATTTGTTCAACCACTCCTTTCTTCGCACTCTTTCTCGTCATCATTTGGACTCCAGTGACAGGAAAAGTAGGTCTTATCCTGGTGTTACATAATTCCCTTGGGTTCGTCTTTTCTCTTCAGTCTTTCCTATGTGTTGTTTAGACTGTGGGGAAACTGCAGTCTTCGGGACACAAGTGACCTTTTAGATTCTTGAATGTGGTGGCTTTTTGACTGAATCCAAATTTTACAGAACAAATGCTTTTAATACAGGATTTATTAGATTTATTCCTGCCCTATATTTGTGGGCTCTTGTTCCAGTGACAGTTTAATTTTCTAAGTCTTTGTGCTATGATCTTTGGTCTGCTTGGTTTATTTATATGGTGCCAGTGGAACTTTAAGTGGCCTCTACTGGTGCTGGGGAGGTGATAAGGGGGTGCTCCCTCCCCATATGTGCCGTGGTGGGGAGGGGCATCTCGGGACCGGGAAGGCTTGTCTGCTGACTCCTCATCAGTCTGTCTTGTTGGCAATGCTGGGCTCTCCTCATGCTGTTAGTGGTCCTTCTGTCCCTGGTGGGAAGGTAGGATGAGCCTTCCTGGCTCCTTTCTTGTGCTCCGTTGAGGATTAGGAGTTTTGGGCCTTTGTGGCTTTTTGCTGGGTGGGAGCACATGAGCTCCTGTGGTCTGTGTGTCTCCCAGTCCCGGGTCCCACCAGTCTCCCCCCTCCCCCCATTGTCTTACCAGCTTTCAGACTCTCCATTGGTGGGTGATGCCTCATCAACCGGTCTACATCCAAACACCTGGGGAGAAGCTGGGGGGGGGGATGATTCGTGCCCTTTGGACCAGAAGTTGTGCTTCTACATTATTTTTTCAAGTTAGGCTTTATTTTATTGCAATAACATATACTTTTCTTTTTTTATTTGAGAGGTAGTCTTACTCTGTTGCCTTGGGTAGAGTGCCATGGCATCAGCCTAGCTCACAGCAATCTCAAAGTCTTGGGCTCAAGTAATGCTCTTGCCTCAGCCTCCCGAGTAGCTGGGATTACAGGTGCTTGCCACAGTTTTTCTATTTTTAGTAGAGAGGAAGTCTTGTGCTTGTTTAGGCTGGTCTTCAACTCCTGAAGTCAAGTGATCTACCTGCCTCAGCCTCCCAGAGTGCTGGGATTACAGATGTGAGCCACTGCGCCCTGCTTCTGTTACTGATTTCTAACATGGTTCCATTGTGGTCAGAGAACACACTATAGTTTTAATTTTGAAACAGTTTTGTTTTATGGCCAGATATACTGTGTATGTTGGTAAATTGCCCCTGGCTCTTGAAAAGTGTGTTTACTTGGTGGTTGTTGGGTAGAGTCTTCTGAAATGTTGATTAGAACTTGTTAGTTGTCACAGGCGTCCTCAAACTATGGTCCGAAGGTCAGACGTGGCCCTCGGAGGACAATTATACGGCCCGCCGGGTGTTTTTGCTGCCTCTATCTATCCTGCTTAGCAGCTGACTGGTCCCGGGGGCCGTAGTCTGGCCCTCCAACAGTCTGAGGGACAGTGAACTGGCCTCCTGTTTAAAAAGTTTGAGGATCCCTGGTTGAGGATTTTGTTGAATCTTAACTGTACCCCTGCCTGTCTACCGTGTGATGTTTGGTCAGCTGCTAAGAGTGGGTTGTTGAAGTCTCCCCATCTGTATTTAAGGGTTTGTTTATGTCTCTTTAAGAGTTTTATCGGGTTTTGCTCCAGGTATCTTGTAGTTCTGTGGTTTGGTGCAGACACATTGAGATTGCTGTGTTCTAGATGGATTGGCACTTTGATCGTCAATCATGAAGGCCCCTCGTCTGATTCTGGTAACTTTTCATTCTACTTGATCTGACATTAATATGGCCACTCTTCATCTCCTTTGGTTAGTGTTTGCATGCTATATAATTTCCATCCTTTTAATCTCAACCCACTTGTATATGAATCGAAGTTCTCATAGTTGGTATATGGTTGGTTCATTTTTTTATCCGCTGCCAGTCTTTTGACTGTTGTATTTACAACATTATGTCAGTGTAATGTTTGATATGTTAGGACTTATGTCTGCTATTTTATTGTTTGTTTTCTGTTTTCTTTTTCCTGTCTTATTGGTTACTTGAACACTTTTTTTGAAACTCCATTTTTATTTATCTGTAGTGTTTTTCAGTGTATCTCTTTGATATAGTGATAACTTTAGGAAATACATTATATGTACTCATCACAGTATACTG